TAGAACAGCATAATTTTTGTTTCCATCAAGGCGAATCTATTACCAATGCAGATTCTGGGCCCGATACCAAATGGCATATAGACCAAATTATCCACTTCATTGTTAAGGAATCTTTCAGGATCGAACTTGTCTGGCTGCGGATAGTACTTTGGATCGCGATGCAGAGAGTAAGCTGGAAACCATATGTTGTCTCCAGGCTTTATCATGACCGGTTCGCCATCTGAAGTCGCTGGTGGCAATTCGGTCTCTTTGACACATTTTCTGTCTATGAAAGTTCCTGGCGGATATAATCTAAGAGTTTCGTTTATTACGGCGTCTAAGTACTTCATGCGATTGATGGCCTCGTAAGTAGGTTTACCGTTGGTCTGTCTGACAACATCATCAATTTCTTCTCTTAATTTGCTCTGAATATCGGGATTGACACCGACTTCGTTTGTTACAAAACACATGGCTGTTGATAAAGAATCGAATCCGGCGAGAAAGAAAACGAATGCCTGGGCAGTCATTTCGTCAATGTCGAACTCGGGTCCACTATCTTTATTTCTAGTCTCCATCATCAACTGAATCATGTCCGGACGAACAATTCCTTTCTCATCCCTGACCTTCACTGTGCTGGAGACGATATCTTTAAAAAAATTCTCTATCTTTAGGCCAAACATTTTGAGATTGAGGAGTTTTGCAAGTGTCGGGAAGTTTTTATGCAAGAAGAACTTGAAGGCCATCCAATTGTCAAAAGTCATTGCCTTTTTGGCAAGCAAGTAGAACTCGTTGTTCGGGTGCTTAAAAGAATCCACGTTGATGCCGAAAGCACACGTGGCCACTGCGTCGTTGGCGTATCTGCCCAGAATGTCTTTCATATCATACGTCTCGCCGGTATTTCCGGATTTCGTTATCACAAAATCGACGAAGTTCTCGGCGCACTGACTTATAAGTCCGAACATCATCTTCATCTTACTGGATGTGAAACTAGGGCTAAGAAGCTTCCGCATCTCGCGCCAATGATCCCCTTTTAGGTCAAACAGACTTTTACTGACCATCGGTTCAAGAGTTTCGTTCAGGAAGTTATTGTGATCACAGAAGTTGTCGAACTTTTTGATGGCAATCGTGGAAATCAGATCTGGATCACGGATAACGAAAGTCGGTGTTATAAAATCGTAGAGGCCGAAGTATTTTGCGTTCGAGAA